CGTAAACAAAAATTTGAGAATTTGATTGGTCGTGCGTAACGGAAGATCTCGTGATGGACCTGGCTTTAAGCGACCCCCCTTTTACGGTATGTTTTATATTAAAATTTTTGCAAGAAATGGTTTTTGTTAGAACTTCCAAAGCTGTTTTATATAATCAGAATTTTGAAATATCAACATACCCATATACGTATACATAGTACAAATAGAAATGCAAAATACAACTATATAGCTAATATATTAAAATATTATTACTAACATATTTATTAACAAAAATAAAAAAAATAATATAAAATAACAAAATAAACACCTAACAATAAATAAGACATAGAAAATTTAAAATTTTAAAAACAATCTTTTATAAAAAAAACTATTTATTATAAATTTTTTTTCTCATTATAAGAATTCTAGTTTGTTATATAATATGAAAATCGTTAAAATATGATCAATATTTAAAGAATAACTAAGACAATGTAGAGATAAGTGACCATTATTTTTCCAAATCAGAACTTTCAGGAATACATATAGCTTTAGCGCATGTAGAACAAGTTTGCTCCAAAATTTTGCACTTATAATTAGGAAGACACTCGCATGTTGGTACTACTTGGGTACAATAAATGCATTCTAATATTTTCATATGTTAATTATGTTAATGTAATTGTAATTAGAGAAAGGTAATTACGTATATTAGTTTTAAGTTTAGAGATAAGTAATAGATATTAGGTCTAATAATATAGATTAACAATTTAATAATTTACCGGGTTGTGCAAATGAATGATCGATTGTGACAAATAAAACGAGAACCAGAGCAATAGTAAAAATGAAATAAAATTTTAATGCCATTTTGAGATAAGGTGTTTATTTTTGAAAATTTAGAATTCAAGAGCAGAGAAAATTATAAATGTTAATGAAATATTAAACTTTATATAGCTAAAAATGGTGCGTCTATTTACATTTTAAACGGGATCAATAAACAATGATAGGGGTATTTTATAGGCTTATATGTAATAAATTATTTACTTGATAATTTTTATTATTGGCTGTTTCGCATCCAATAACTATATATAACTTGAGTACCGAGGGGTTAGACGGCAGAATAATCAATTATTGGTATTGTTGATGTTTTTTTTTTCAGCAGAATTTTTCAGGTAGAGCAACGAGATCTTTGAAACTAGTCTATAAAAGTAATTTACAAATTATACTACAGCACTATATAGGCCACAAGTAAAAATTAAGCTAATGAGATTGATACGATGTACAGTACGAAAATATTCTTGTAAAGATAAATATTGAATGACGTTCAGGCAAATCTCAGCTCATCCTTTACCGTTCACTCTTGGAAGAGATTTCGCAGGCATAGTTGTCGATGAGCCACTTTTGGATGATTGAATAAGAAGGTATTCGGGATTTGTGGATATAGTGGATTCACATTTGATGGATCCGTGCTGAGTGAATATTCGGAATAACTCAAGCAATTATCTTTTATCTGTTATTTATTGTTGTTTTTTTGTATGTAGATATGTTATAGCAACCCCTGAAACTGTAGATATTAAACCTGAAAATTTAACACTCATCGATGTTGCATCAATTGTTGTCGAATTTTTAACTGCTTACCTTGCGTTAGTTAATATTGCAAATGTTTAGAAGGTGAAAATGTCCTTGTTATAGGTACCTTCTCTCCTCTTTTTCGTTTATTTTTCGTTTCAAATCCTTTCACTTAATATAATAAAATATATTTAAGGTGCAAGCGGAGCGGTCAGTTCCGCCCCGCTTCAAATAGCAAGATTCCTTAAAATAGATCACTTTCTAGTAATTCATTTCCGGAGCTTCTGATTTTGTTGACACCATAATTGAAGATTAGTTCTTGATTTGACGACCAAAATGGTGTTAATGTCGTAATTGACACTGTTGGACGCTCTGCGCTATTTGAAAAGGTTTGTGAAATAAATTAAATAAAATGATATTGTGTATTTCTATGTATTTTAACCTCTTTTATCTTTAAAAGCGCTTTCATCATTGAAAATTCGTGGAAGATATGTTGTGTCGATACATCTCATTTGAAGAATTCGATTTTTATCAGTAATTATTTCATATTAAGTATCGGCATCTCTTTCTTATATTAAAAGTTCTTTAGTTCCTTTAAAAAAAAAAGCCGAGAACTGTGTCTTTTGAAACTTAACACATTAAACTCTACTAGGGAAGATGCAGTTAGAGTATTTAATCTATTGAAAGTGGGTTTGAAAGGTACAAGTTATTTCCTAAGTCTTAATGTCTGTTTTGATTATCAGATATGTTCAGAACTATTATGATTTCAAACATTCAATTCTCGCGAAACCTCTTAATTAATCTATGTTTCAATAATTTTTTACCGTATTTTTTTCACGTAATAACGCTTATTTCGAAAATCGTGCCCCTAAAAATATTATAAGGTAAATATGGGTATTATGGCGAAGTTAAAATATTTTCGATCGTATAATGAGATGCATTGATCGAAATCTAATAATTTTGGTACCATCTGATTCGTCTCATCGAGCCGAATCGAATGATGTCAGAATCATTCATTTCTGATCACTATATCACGAAATATCTAAAGTTGAAATATTTTTTAAAAAATAAGAAAATTTTAGCCTTAGGGTATTATGACGAATCAGGATTATCTCGTGATCCCGAGATCGGAATCGGATGAAATTTGTGCCATTCGATACCTCTCACTGAAAGGAAGCGAATGGTATAGATTTTATCCTATTCTGATCGCGGAATCATGAGATATCCTGATTCGTCATAAAAATTTTAGATACACGAAGAGGGCATCATGACGAATCGGGATTATCTCGTGATTAGAATCGGGTGAAATTTATACCATTTGATTCCTCTCGATGAGAGGAGTCGAATGGTGTAAGTTTCATCTGATTCTGATCACGGGATCGCGAGATAATCCGATTCGTCATAATACACCCTTCATCATAATACCCATATTTACCTTATAATTTCAAAATAACGCTCATGCGCGTCCCAAAATAGCGCGCACCCATAGTAAGGGTTTTATAGTAAGATTTTAAAAATACTTCGGAACTGGATTTAGTACAAAGTAAACCTTCGAATTTCAACAAAATTTTGTTAAAGCTCGAAGGAAGGTTTACTTAGTACTAAATCTAGTATTTTTTGTTTACTTTTATACAAGAATTACATAAAATTTTTTAATTGTCTCAAAATAACGCTCATGCGCGTACTCAAAGTAACGCGCATGTACTCAAAATAACGCGCAGGTGAGCGTTATTACGCGAAAATACGGTATGTAAAAATAGCGGCGCCTTCGAGTCTCACAAATTGAAATTTGAACCAATGTACTGTATAGAAGATATAAATACATGCAAAAGAGAAGTTGTTTTCACAATCTAATAGCTATGTTCACAACCTGATCATAAATTTAATATGTTAGATATTATTTTATTCTATAGAATTTGATTTCACATTACTAGTTGGCTCACGATAATCCGAATTTAAAAAAAACTGATACGTAAAGTCCAGTATTCTCGCGAACATGTAGATAATTTCGAGAATTTTTTTGCATAGAGTTGTTGAACACCTATCAGCATTTCGATTCTCAAAATTTGCCGTATACGTACAAATAAGGTCTCAAATTTATATCTAAATTTATTTATCCAAACAAAAATGACTATTTTCTCGAACAACTTTCGAAAGTAAATATGATTATGACGTAGTAATTGATGTCAAGATGCAACCAAATAACCTGCTTTTTCAAGCATATTCAACAATCTTTATCAACATTCGTTATACTTTCGGCTGAAATTAACAGACGCGACTAATTATAACGTTTACTATATCACATAAACAAGCCATACAATGTAATTTATGATTCTGATAATGTATTTATACGATTTTCCAACGCCTAATTCTTGCCATGACACCGTATAATTGTTGTTTTGAAAAATTTTTAAATTAAATAATAAATCTTTTTATAAAAAAAAACCATTTATTTTTATCTTTTTAAAGTTATACGAATTTTTTTTTATTATAAGAATCCTAGTTTGTTATACAATTACTATATTAGCTTTTTTATCTAATTCAAGCTTCTAACAATAGAGTTACTGTATGTAGAGTTGCTAATCTGCAATTATCGTGCTTTTTAGTACCGTTAAAATATGATTAATATTTAAAGAATAACCAAGACAATATAGAATATTATTTTTCCAGACCATAACCTTCCGAATCGTAATCATTTGGATCATAACTTTCAGGAACACATCTAGCTTGAGCACAAGTAAAACAATCTTGGTTCCAAACTTGGCACTTATAATTAGGAGGACACTGGCCACATGTTGGATATATTTGGGGACAAAAAATGCATCCTAATATTTTCATTTATTAATGTTATCAATCGTTATTAGAGAAAATAATTACGTATATTAGTTCTAAATTTAGTGATAAGTAATATGCTTACTCTTGGGTGATTTGACACAATGAGTGGATCCACAAGAGTAACAGAAACGTTTCTGAATCCAACATTTAGTAGTAAAGACGCATAATGGACATATAGGTTCGGGACATGTAACACATTCTACATAATAATTAAAGCAGAAAAGCAAGTTGAATACTATATATTAATAAAGACGAACACTTTGAATAGGTAATTTGATAATAATTGTCGCGGCTGAAGCTGGAAATTAGGGGCCTTGATTTAAAAATATAAACCATACTAAAATCCACTTATACTCTTTTATTATTAAAACTACCCTAAACCCTAACCTAACCCTAAAAAAAAACCTAACAAAAGGCTCAAAAATTTTTTGAAAATTTCATATTAAAATAATTAAAATTTCCAGCATCGGTCATTTCCAGCTTCAACCGCGACAATAATTTACCTGGATCATCCTTAGGTCGGCAAGTATATTTTCCGCACCGAAAACAAGTGTTTTCAGATAGAATGCAAACATGATCATCATCGCAGGGTGGATCGCACTTTCCCTTCGATGATAATATTGGACACCTTACGCACGGGTTAACTATTATAATGTTATAATTGATATTAGGTCTAATAATATAGATTGAAAATTTTATTATTTACCAGATTTTGCAAATGAATGATCGATTGTAACAAATAAAACAAGAACCAGAGCAATAATAAAAATGGAATAAAATTTTAACGCCATTTTGGGTAAAATGTGTGTTTTTGAAATTTTAGAATTTCAAGAAAAAGAGAAAATTACGAATGATAAAGAAATAATAAACATTATATAATTAAAATGACGCGTCTATTTACATTTTAAATGGATCAATAAACAATAGTAGGGATATTTATAGGCTTATACATTTAATTACAGTATAATAGCGCCGATTTAATCAATTATTGGCGAATATAGTCTATTGTGATGATTGTGGTGAAAATAGCTTCTTCTTTTTTTTGTTTCCAGAAATAGAAAATTTAACGGTAATTTTTTCAGGTAGAGCAACAAGACCTTGGAAACTAGTCATAAAAAATTATGTATAAATTGTATTACATTATTAATTTCTAGCATCCAGAAAATGTGTACCAGGTTGGGTTCGAATGGTGTCCGGATGATGGTCCGAAAAATAAGCTTTTGAGTCTTCTATTTTTATCTTTTTTTATACACCACTTGAGCAAAAACATTGTTTTTGATTATTTGACCCATTTTTATTGATCTGCCTTAAAAAGATTCGCGTCGATTTAATCAATATGACGTGGTATGCACATTATGTTCGAATATGTATTTGGAAAAATGAATTACCAATTTCTGGAAGAAAGTATAAACCTTGGAATTAAATGTTAGCTGTTGGAGGTATCTTTGTCATTGATAGTTCTTGAATATTGAGAATTAAATGTAGATTAGCCAGTGCGATTTTGAGTTGAAAACAGTATAAAAATTCGATGTACGCATGTGTGGATCGCCCTTAATCATGAGTGCGCACATACAGGACCTTTTTTAACTATCTCCGCTAATATTTAATTTTATTATTTTTAACATCTATTATGTAATGTGCAAATCAGTGTAATCGTTAAAATGCATATGGGCGGAAATTTTTGGTAGAGTGCTGTGACTATATAAAATTAGGTGATTATACTCATAAAAACTGATAAGTAACGGATCAATTTTGATAAGT